CGCTGCTATTTGAAGTGACTGCATGGCCATTGCTCTCATTGCAGTATCTTGGGCAAGGAAGGATGAAGCTCTGGCTATGGCCAGGGAATAGTTTTGTTTGTCAGTTGTGTAGAATATAAACTACAAGGAGCTATGTTCATGTTTAAAAGTCATTACATCTATCAATTCTATTTTGATGGCTTTCTAGAAAAGGAGACATAGGACCTCAGGAGACCTCCCAAGCATTATAGAACTTTTTGTTCAAAAAAAGGAACAGAGATAAGTCTTTAAAAGGCTCAAAAAATATCACTCAAAGCTTGAGTTGTGCAGCCATTCTTTGTGGTTTCAGTACTTGTTAGCAAAATGTTAGAATGCAGAGGAGAACTGATATCAAAATTGTGGGTGGAAAGCTAGAAGACAAGATGCTTTTGAAAATGTAGCTTGTAATGTATAAATTTGCATGCTGGACTGTGTAGACAATGGTGGAATTCAGATAGTATTTTCAGCTTTTATTCTCTACGAATATCCACAGCGTGTCTTCATATTCCAATGCAACATAATTCTTTTAGGATTGCATTTATTAATCATATACTATTATAGACTTTCTGAGACAGAAAATACCTGCACAGATAAATCTCAAAAATTACAGGAATCCCCAGGTTACTGAATGTTTGCATACCTGCAGTAAAGTGCTCTAGAGAACAGAAGAAATGGATGGGTAGGAAAATGACTGATTGGATATTTGTATTAGCCACTTTAAAAGGTATAGTACAGAGGGAATTATCAATAAGGTCGGAGTCTTCACGAGATAGCAACTCTGTTTGCAACAGTTAAGCAAGAAATGAAATAGCCTAGAATGCAAGTTGACAGATAGAGTGTTGAGTGAGGCCCCAAGGAGCTTGTGTTGACAACAGGAAACCTTTTATTTGAATTGTCTAAGGGTGGTAAAAGGTCAAAATTATTCAAATGTTGAATGCAGTGGGTAGATGAATCCTGAACCAACATATTTTTGAGGCAGCAGAAAGCCAAATGCTCCATCTCTCACACGGTGATAGCTGTGTTTTTATAAAGATTGCATAAATCTTGCTAACTTGTAATAGCCACTTTTGTACATTTTACATGAAACGTCTTCAGTTTATCCAATTAATGTAAACATAAGTGTGCTTGAGAAAGACTTAAGATTATCTTTGAGCATTAATTGTCATGTAAGTAAATACCAATAAATTTTTTACTTAGTTTTAGTACTAAGTAAACAAAAAAAAACTTAACTACTTTTAGTAGTTAAGATAACTGAGCAGTTAACTACTCATAAGAAAAAGTGACAAATTGTTAAAAAAGAAGAGACCATGGAAAAGGCACAAAAGTTCTGTTTAATCTGCCAGTGAACTACTTTATTATCCTAGGCAACTCATTTAATTTGTGTATGTCTTCCTTCTAGCCTTATTAATTAGGACTACATAGAATCCCCCTGCTGTGTTGGTTGCAGTGTGTTTTACCATCATCTGGTCATAACCAAGAATAAGGATATAAAAATGACACTGGATTCTAGAAGAAAAAAATCTTTCACCCTTTCCATGAAATTGTTCCAATTCTTGTCCTGTAACTAAATTCATACTGTCATCACTTCCTAAGTTTTATATTTTAAGCTATGAAGAACGTACTCGGTCATGAAAGGTTTTCCTGTTGCATTTTAGAACGTCAGTGTCTCTGGAATCTATTTAGTCACCTACACCTGTTTTACAGCACAACACACAACTGCTAAGTATGCAAGAACATGGAGTGTGTGTAAATGAGTTGTATGTATGAGTATTGATTTCAGCAGCAATATTTTAATGATGTTTCTCTTGAAAAATGAACAGTAGATCTGGGCTCAGAAATTCTTAATACATGTGTATAGCAATAGACAGTCCATATTCAGTAATGTACTTTATTATTCTGTATAGAATCTAAATTATATCCTGTTTCACCACAGCGTACATACATGAAAGACCCATGCTAATCTTTTTCATTCTGTCAGCACATCTGAAAGGCATTCAACACAATGTTGTTTTCTTAGGAATGCAGCCTTTTTGGTCTGTATTGGCTTGCCCTCTAGTGAGTCTCCCTGCTTTCTGCTTCTCAATGCATTGTCTTCCAAGACAATTGCCATGTGGTACAAGATTCTGGCTCACCATTCTTCCACCTCAGCTCCAAATATGATTCTCTGAACTAATGTCTTTAGTTCAATGTATGTACCAAGTAAGTTGAAGGTGCCAAAACCTTTTGATTAGGCAATACTGATGAACTGTTCAGCTCTGTGGCTTATTGCATTATCATGATCTGTAGTCCCACTCTTCTCTCGGTGATTACCCCCAAAAAAATTCAGGGTTAAAGCTCACAGGCTTCTGCCTGGGACTGAGGAAACTGAGGAAATTGATAGTTTTCAGAACAACCACTGAGGAGACTGAAAGGAGGTCGTGCTTATCTCGTCAGCCTGCTGGTTCAGATTCTGTTTTCCTGCCCAATTTGTTAGTGCTTCTAGATTTGTAGTTACTGTTTGTATCTCAAAGTGTGTTTGGCCTGAGGACCATTATTTCTTTCACTAAAATTTGTGGTGATTATTCAGAACTTTACCTTAAGCTGAAAAAGTACATTCTACTCAGGGTTCTCTTGAAATCCATTGAATAACAGCAATCTGGTTTGTGCAGGGAACAACTGAGAGCACACTGTTATGATGCATTATTTTTAATAACTTTATTGCAATAGAGTTTTAAATTTCTTGCAGAAAAAAAGGAAAGATGGAAAAGAAAGAGAAAAGAAAGAAAGGGAAGTTTGAAATTCAGCAGCCAAATACAAAACTTTGTACTGACTTTTGTGTAGTCTAGGGCTTACCCTTCTCTTCTTATGCATGATCATGTTCACTCAAACCAACTCAGAAACTTCCTTTGGTTTTGGAGGTTAAACTCTCTGAGATTAGAAGCAGAGCTTTCTGAGTCAAGGGCCCCTACCTTTGGAATTAGTTTTTCTTGGTTCTCTGCCAATGTCCAGCTCCAATAATCTTCAGAGCACATGGCAAAATATTTGTATTTGGGTTAGTTTTTCTCTATTTTAAATGGTTTGGTTTTGCTTTGAGTTTCACGTTACAGATCTGGAGATGGTAGATTGGGAATCATTATTTTCTAGCAGGATTATTTAGTATTACCTACCATGGGGAAGTTTATATGTAATTTATCAATTATTTTTATAAATGTGTCCTGCAGTGCCTGAATGAACAACATTTTCATTTTCACTTTTAATTTGTCATTTTCTAGCCCATGATACTGGAATTACTTTGATCCAAACTGGAAAAGCTCTTGAGGACAGAACTTTGTTCCTTGTGTGCTTTGTTGTGTGTAGAAGGAGGGGGTGATTCTGCAGGTGGACAGACAGTGGAGTGGCTTACCATTTATGAGGACTAATCACTTTGTTATGGGCAATTCTGCAGTCATGTCTACCTTGATACATGTTCCACAGCCATCGGGGCTGTGCAAACTTCCCCCCAAAGTGGCTGCCTGCAGCTAGTACTGCTTTTTGCTAGTGAGACCAAAACTATGAGAGTATCCAGAATGTTTGTCTATCCACCCCAAAATGTAGACTTTCAATAAAGTCTATTACAATGATTACAAATGAATACAGATGAATGATTGTAAGTAGTCTAAAGTATTTGATTATAAACATTAACATTTGTGGCTTAATTGTCTGTTTATCTTAGTTTTAAACATTGATGCTGGTAATTTCAATAGAAATCCCCTTTTTTGCACCAATCTGAGTAGACAACAGGGCCCGCAAATATTTGACATGCTTTGAGAATAATATGAAAGGATCTTTAGAGATGTGTATTTTAAAAATACAGCTTTGGTATATGACAAAGACTTTATTGTGAGATTAGCCCTTGCCCTTTCTCCAAATATATTGTAGCACTAAGTTCGGTTCAGGTTCCTGAAGTAACAATACTGTTGGGGGATAACGAAACCCAAGGCAAGGAATAAAAGTGAGCCATGTAGTACCTGATAGTCACCTGCTTCCCAAAATAGCCTGGGACAGGTTCTCTCCTGGTGTAAAACAGACCAGCTCCTGAGCATGTGGCCGGGTATCTCTGCGGAGCAGGTAGTTGCTGTTGGAGAGGTCAGTACATGCATCAGACAGATCAGGTGTAGATCAGATATGTATCTTTGCACTGCAGGATCTCAGAAGATGTTTCCAGTTAACTTTCAGAGCAGCTGCTCCTCAGGACAATGTGGTGTTATATTTAGAAGTGCAGACTGGTCACCTGATGGTGTCCTGATTTAAGAATGATCAGGTCTGTGCTCACCATTCATCTCTTTGAGATAAAAAGGGAAATAGTCAAAGAGTTGGCTTGGCTCTGGCACCACTAAAGAAATTCTTGTTTTAGTATAAACCACTCTTAATAAGATAGCATTTTTCCCTACCATGTCTAACTTCAGTCTGAGAAGGAAGCTAACACAAAGAATAACAGTCGTGAGTGCACTGCGGTCACAAATGATTTAGCAACTTACACAGATTTTTTTTTTTCTTTTCTCTTCTTCTATCTGTGTTGATAAAATCGGAGAGCCGGTGGCTAGTACTGATTTAGACTTCCAGCCTGGATTTGCTCTTGTTTTTTTCTTACTCCAGTTCTCCTTGTGCAGTGCTGCGTGGCGCTGGCAGCCTGAGAGAGAGGGAGCTCCAGTCACACGCATAGACTCAGACCGCGGAGAGGAGATTAACATCAAGGAGCCCACATTTGCAATAGCGGGTGGTGCTGGGGGAGTGGGGGGGAGAGGCGAGGGGAAAATAAAATAAAAGCAACAATCGGGTAAATGCTCGTCTCTTCTCGCCACCAGCACCTTGCACAGGTCTGAAATCGCTTGTTTTGCTTTGCTGTATTGCGCTTGCCTGGGCTGTGGAGAGGGGAGGGGGAGGGGAGGAAGGGGGAGGTTTAACTTTTACTTGACATTACCGGGTTATTGTCACTTCCCCCGTGTTAAACCCCGGTGGTTTCCCCTCGCCCCCACCCCCTCCCCGTGCTCGGCTCCCTCCACTTAACTTTGTTCAAAGGGCTGCAGCCAGCAGGGTTTGTCCGGGCCTGGGACACAGATAGCGTAAAGTAAATAACCACCACAATTAGGCTGGGGCCGGGAGTTGATCTTCGTGGCGAGAGATCTGCTTAGTTAGCGTTTGCTGTTTCGGGGCGATTGAAGGCCGCCGTGCCAAGGACAGCGCACGCACACACACACACACGCACACACACACACACACTCACTCTTACACACGCACGCTGGATACAAAAGTCTGGAGGATCTAGGGGAGAATTGCAGCCGCCGGATCGGTGCAGCAGCGGCGGCCAGAGCCATGCGTGTCACGGCCTCCTGAGGGGGGAAAAGGAAGGAAGGGAGGAAGGAGAAAAAAAAAAAAAAAAAAAAGAAAGAAAGAAGGAAAAAAAAAAGAAAAGAGAGAGAAAGGAAAGCAGAAGAAAGACGCGGGGTGGTGGAAAGTGTTTGCCTGCTTTTGTCTCGCAATACAGTGAACTGGAAGATGGAGATGGATGTTAAGGGAGTTTCTCCGTGCCCGGAGCCCATCCCCCCGGCGGCGGGGTCTGGCGGCTGCCCGCACCAGCGCCCGCACCACCGCGATGGGCAGCCCGCGGAGCCGGCCCCCGCCGCCGACAGCGGCCACCCGGAGCGGAGGCACGGCGGCGAGAAAGAGGACAAAAAGGTAGGTCCGCTCCGCCGCCGGCCGGCCGGCGCCGCGCCCGCCCGAGGGGCCGCTGCCCGGGGCCGCGCTCGGCGGGGCGGGCGGGGCCGCTCCCGGGGCCGCTCCCGGTCCCATTCCCCGCCGGCCCCGGGCGCGGGCAGCCCCGCGCCGCCCTTTGTCAGCGCGGCGGCGGGAGGGGGGGCCGGCGGCCGGGGTTGTCTGAGGACACGGGGGCGGCGGGGCGGGGAGCGCGGGGCCGCCGCCGCCGGGCCCCGGGCGCCGGGCATTGTTCCGCCCGCCCGCCCGGCGGGAGCGGCCCGGGGGCCGCCGCCAAAGTTTAACCTCACTTCGAGGGGCCGCGACCGGCGGGGCCGCCGCTCCCCTCCCTTCGTCTCCCCTCGGCTCCCACCCGGCGGCGAGGGGCGAGTCACCTGGGGGAAGGAGCCCGGGCGCTGTGTCCCTCCAGCCCTGCTGTGTCATTGCGGACCGGGGGACGGCTGCTCGCTGCCGAGTGAGAACCTGCGGGTGACGGAGTTCAGCGAGAAATGGGTCAGATCGCACCCTTTGGTGCGGATGTGTCTGCTGCCGGGAGGATCGAAAGTAGAGAGGATGGGATGGAAAAAGGTTGCCATTAAGATAATGTCAGCGGAGTGCATTGATCAGTGCTTTTGTCTGTGGGCACTGTCTTCATTTCCATTCATTTTTCTCGGCATGGGTTTGCTAAACTGAAGCCGATGAATTCTGCTGTGGCTGTAGGTCTGTAACAGGCAGAGACTGATAAATGTGTAAGTTTCATCGTAATCCGGTGATGGTTGCAAGGTGTGATCCGTGTGTGCTAGACTGTAAAACCCATCCGTTTATATTTTAGTGAAATCCTAGTAATTCTCTGAATGCACAGATACCCCCAAACAGATTATAATTCTAAAGTAAATGTAAAAAAGAAATGCAGTGTACTGGATTTGAGCCGTGTATCTTCAACTAGTTTTACTATAGTTTGATTTTGTTACAAATGTGTAAGGGAACAGTAACACAATGAAGGAATGTAAACCAGCAATGCAATAAATCAATGCAACAACTATGTCACACCACATATTTGCATGACTAGAGCTCCAGTTATCTTGGGAAATACAAGGTGTTTTTTAAAAATTCTATCTGTAATTGTAGATCCCGAGTTTTCAGCATTTACCTCCTACACTTCTAGGTTTGTTACCGTTCAGTAAAATCTGTTCTATTGTTTTAATTAAAAGAGAGTATCGATGACGGATCATTTGAACAGGCCCCGTACATTTTAAGAGGGTGGATGGATGCAAGGGCTTTGTTTATAAAATGGTAACTGATGGTTTGCATATTGTGATAGATGAACACAGAATTTCCTCTCCTTTGAGTTTATGAATATTTAATTCTGTCGTGACTGCATGCTACTGTACGCAGTTGAATGATTTGTGTGTGCTTGATTGTTTCTAGGATCCCTTCCCTTGCATTGTGTTACTTACTGAAACTTGAAATTATTTTATTTCAAAATAATTAAAATGTAGAGCCAAGGTTGCCATTTACATATGACTTCGTTGTGCCACTGTCTCGAGCATTTAAAAACCCTGCCATCAGCAGAAATCCATGCTCAATAGTTACTTTCTGGTATACCACACAGTCTGTCTAATGTTTTACCAGTCATGGTAAAACAAGGAAGGCAAACAAGGTGTGACTGAAGGTGAATGAACACCAGAGAAGGCCTGATTCTCTGTGGTGTGGCTAATTAACATGTTAAGATGACTCAGTATTGCACTGTTTTATTCTGTATTTGCCAGCATTTTCTGGACATGGAAAAAAAGTACTACCTTTTTTTTTATTTTTTTTTTTTGTGTGTGTCCTAGCTACAACCATGCTAAAGTACTGTAATATACTCCTCTTTTTTAACTCCACAATTAAATCCACAATTAGCTTTTCCAAGCTTGCCATTGCCATGATTGTTGCAATGACTAGCTTGTATTTTTCGGAAGTGCTGTGATATTTCAAACCTCCCTAAATATATGTATCTTTCCTAGATGCTGTCCCAGGACAACTAGTGCTTCTTATTACTGCAGAACTATTTCAAATATCTGGTAAAATAGTGGCATCAGAAATATAATGAGAAGGGGAAAACCCATTAAAATGATAGTAAAATCCAACATTATTGTGGAAAAAACCCATCAACCACAAAACTAGACTGAAGCATTGCTGGAAACATCATCTAAGAACTTTCTGAATTGAATGAAATAGCAGTATCATTGTTTATTTGACCCTTAAACAAACATCAGAGGCACACTGATACATCCTAGAAGTGTGAGTGCTCTACCTGCAAATCGTACAGGACACTAGAACATCATTTCCTGACAAGTGTATAGTTATGAATAACTAACTATTAAGATCTTGCAATGTCTCATGATTTCACTGTCAATTTGCTTTTTGGGGATCATGCTTTAATTATAAAAAAAATCTTATATTTAATCATTGAGCTCCATTTCAGTGGAGATAAAAAGAGTTTTACTTGAATCTAAATGGAGCTGGGTCAAATTTATGTTCTAATAAAGGTATTTTTGTCACAGCATCCAAACAGAATATTGCTGAATTAAACAAAGCAAGTATTTTCTTAAGTCTGTGGAATCTCAGTAGAAGCTACTACCGTAGTCTCAATTATATGGGTATCGGAGGGATTTTTTTCCTGCTGTATGTTAATTTTTTTTTAATTATCTTTGAACTTCAATAAACTTTTGAAACATATGTGTAACTTGAAATATATCCCACTGTCTTCAACTGGGATACTGACATGCCAAAATGTGTGCTTAAGTGCTTTGTTGGAGGAAAACCTGAGTTACTTCTCATATATCTTTTTGTGTTGAAACTGTCTCTAACGGATACATGAGGAGAAACTATGAAGATTGACTTTATAATATATTAAGTATACAGTAAAGCATAGTTGCCATTTAGGTGGGAGAAAATTAAGCAGAAATAGTAGAGTACAAGATTTAGAAAACAGCTGACTCTATGTGGATACTATTTTTTCTCTTAAAGCAAAACACATCAGAAAATGTTTTTCAACACTCCTACAATGTTTTCTGTTATTTTAGTTAAAAGCCTGTGGGTCTAACCCTGTATACAGCAGCATGTTGATATTTTCCAGTATGGCAATGTGAGTGACTGGGGGAGAGAACAACGTGCAATCCTGGCTGTTCATTCCTGGCTGGAGGTGCAGCTGATGCCTGTGACAGGTTGTGTGGGTGAGTTTTCACACCATCTTGCCACTCTGTGACTCAGTGCCAAGGGACACAGGCCCCTAAACTTTACCGAGGATTCTTTCCAGCTTATATTGTAGTGATTGCATCTTTGCAAGGATCACTGTAGGGAGCACTTTGGGAGTAGAAGGCAGCTCTGCAATTCCTTTGCAGGCTGGTGACTATGAGTGACGTTTGTCACAGCTGATGTTATGACCAGAATTTTCCCAGGGGTGGTACCCTGAGCTAGGACTTTCAAATCGTTGGCTACAACCAGTCTGTTACAGTGTTTTCATTTTCCAAAGCACTGTGTAGCCCCTAAGTTCTCCAAAGTTGGTTCGAGGTATGGATTTGGTAATGTAATGTTGCATACTGAGGGGGACCTCTGTATCTCTGTGGGATCCACAAATCATTTACAAGCACACCCAGAGTTTTCACTTTTATGCCCACTTTCCAGATATAAACCCCTCTGAAACAGCTCCAAAGTGAAGAACTTTCTGTGTATTTACATGGAAATGAGCACACCGAGGTTATAGCAAAAGCAAGCCTACCTGGGCTGGGTACATTGTATTCTGGTTCAAAACCAATTTGCCAGTGTTTGATAAAAGACTTCTGAAGTGTTTTATGGGCTTATTTGTATGTTATTTCCCAGGATGCTCACCTTTGATAGCACTGTGTGAGAGTGGTTCCCAGGTGTGAGCTGGGGAAAAGCTGAGTGCTTTGGGGAAGGGCACTTGGTATTAACTTGGGAATTCTGTTCTGCTGTACACGTGATCTGATCTAATCATCAGCCTCTGAAAGCCTTCTGCTAGTGTATTTACAAGTATACTACTATCAACAATATGGTGGTTGTTCACTCATCATTCACAAGCAATAGGTCAGGAATAGTGGAAGACACTTCAGAGGCAATTCTTTTTTTAATAATTTCTCATATGTATTTAATTTTGTTTGATTTGGAAAGCCATATGTTACCGTGTGTTTACATTTAGAGAGCAGAAGGCTTAAGAAATGCAGTTTATGCTTGAAGCAGACTGTGGGAAGTTTCTTTTAGGGGGTAGATCACTCCAGTCTCGGGTCAGATGTGCTTATCTTACCCTAGGCAGTTACATTGTGCACAGATGAGTAGTTGTCAACCACTGTCTGTTTTCTGGAGATTTGAGTGGCTTTTTTTCAGATAATCTGAACCCTTCCCATTGAGCAACCTGAAGTTAGGAACCAAAAGTTGAAAGTGAAATCAGTAATGGATACAAGGAACCAATATGGGTGAGTGGGACAAAGAAAGCAGAGATAGACAACACTACCACTTGCTGATGGTAGCAGCTTCTCCTCATTACAGTATAAAAGGCAACATCTTGTACTAGCTGGAATTTCCAAGTATGGAAGGCTTTGTGCCAGGTGTATCATGGGCTATGGTCTTGCCAAGATGTAATGCAGGCATGAATAGTCAGGGTCTGGCCGTTGTCTGCCTGGATGGACAAGTTCTTCACTACCCAGACATGGCAAAAAATTATACTTGAGGCTGTTGCTATTCTGGGAGTTTGATGTGAGACAGAAATTTCAGTGTATCTCTAAAGTGAAGACAGAGGTGGAGAATAATGTGTCTTTCTCTAAATCATTGCTAAGAAGATTTCAGAAATCATTCCTCAGCCCAGCAACATCAACTCTGTCTTTTCAGGTCCACTCTTAAGCACCTATTCTTCATTCTTAAGCTGTTCCCAGCCATGCTGTGGGCCATCATGATATTGGTATTGATCTGCATAGTTCAATGTCTTC